TAATGACTTATAAATTTCCCTTACTTTCCCCCTACATCTACCTCCACCCCAGCAGTTCTAAATATTCTGATTTGAAACTGATTTTTATGGGTTCTTTTTTTCCTATCAGGCCTCCTACATTAGCATTTCCATGTCAAGGAAACAAACCTAACAGCTCTGTCAGTATTCTGCAGAGCATATATAAGATTAAGTGAAAGCCTTGCTTGCCATTACTAAACCTCAAATTTTGGGCACATATATCATATAATTGTCTGAAGTATGAGGATACACAAACTTCCTCCTTGATAAAAAGCAAAACTTTTCAGGGCAGCTCTACAGCAGCTGTTAGAGAAATTTAAAAAGTGGGCTGCTGATGTCACAGATCAGAATTACTACACCAGGACTACAGTGCTATGCAGGAATGTGTTTCATAGCATTTGAGAGCAAATTGTTTTCTATGCAAGATTGGCTCTTCTTGCAGCTGTCCCAGGGATTGTCTGAATAGAAAATACTGCCACTGGAGTGACTGGAGACCTGATTTTCAAAGGTTTTCAGATAGATATCAATGCCAGCACAGAGTGACTTGAGTCTGTGCTTACAAATCCCTTTCTCTGAGACAGAGGAAATGTGTCATTAGAAAATGCCTTGTTCCTTCTCATCACAGTTTTAAGTGTCAGCAGACCAGCTCTGAGTCTAATGTGTTTGCAAAATACATCTGTTGAACACTTTTACATTCTTCCATTGAACTGGTGATCCTCAAGGGCTAGTTGCATTTAGCAAGAGAACTGTGCGCCTTTGTTAATTTCCTTCCATCACAGCCTGCATATTCTTTCTTCAGAAATTACCAGCAGCTGACCTGCTGAGACCAGGTTTGTAGAGTATCTAACTATCTGTACAGGCTAAAAATAACACTACTTTTCCCATGTGATATTAATAATTTAATCACAAAAAAGACTAGTCAGCTGCAGAGCTTACCTGAAGTTTTTTTTTCAGTTTCACTGATGTTTCACCTTTATTGTAATGAGTAGCACTACAATATAGGGTCACAAATCCTGGATGACACTGACAATTAAACTTGGAAAACTGTCAATTAAACAGAAAAAATTTAAGTACAATTATAAGGTATTTAAATGATGCAAGCTTCAAAATATTTTCAGTCCTTATAAACATGCTTTAGCTTTTCTGCAAAACAGCAGCATTCAACAGCAAAAGTCTTCCTGCAATAGTTTTAAGCTTAATTTCTATTGAGTAACAGTGCCACCAAGTGACAATTTAGAGCAATTATGCTTCTTGGTTACCATAAATATTTCAAAAAAAACATTGAGAATGAAGGCTAGAAAGATGGCATCCAACCAAGGGTTTTGTGGTAAAAGAGAAATAAGAAAAGATATAAAATCATATAAATAATTCTTTGGAAGAAACTGTACAGTCTATGAGTTCCAAGTTCCTCAGTTCTCTTTCTCCCCTATCTCATTTTTAAGTATGTTTTTACATCTACTCCCTCCTTTGATCTAGTAGAAGACAGAAATCTATGAAAAGTCGGGTTTTGAACAAAAATTGTCAAAATGCTCGGTCTTTAGCTAACCATACCATAAAATAACAATATTTGATAGGATTTTCTTTGCCAACTTCAGTGTCTTAGAAAGGTGTTCACTACTTTATTCCTCTGGTATATATAAACTGCCTCCTTGCCAGCCAGAATTTATACAGTGCCTGTGTACACCCGTGTTTTCATTGCCCACATTGCAATTTAGTGTAACATGTATGAATTTTTAGAGATCTATCATGTTCCTTGCAACCCTTATTGTGGAAAATTAAGCAAATCAACCCCATAAATCTGCTCTCTCTTAACATGTCTCCTCTAAGAGAGGATCCTTATGCTTGAAGAGACTTGCTGTTTATCAAATATTATATATTACTAGAATTCATCTTAAGTTTCCCTCTATATATTCAGAAAGTCTATGACAAATTTTCTTTTCTCTCTCCTTTGGAGCAAGCATTTTCTAATATCTTTTTGATACATTAATATTATGGAGCTGATGGTATGCCATTTTGTAAGTTTTGTTGACATTTTGTTCAACTCATAAATTGGTGATTGGATACAGATTAGCATCTTGTACGTTTTGATTTGTGGTCCTGTGTTTCTGTAGTCAGTGATTGCCATGTCTGTGATTCACAGCAGCCAGGAAAGCAGGAGGGTGGTATTTAGCAGGTTCCTGCAGCAGGTTCAGATTCAGCCATCACAGGTTTTGGGCTGCTCTACAATACACTACCCCAAGATGCATTTGGGCCAAATGTTTTGCAATTTATAAAGCACTGGGACTTGCCCCCATTCTCAAGATTAATGACTCTCAAATACAACATAGCCAGGGAGCAAGGGTGTAGGTTGGCTCCAGTTGCTGAGCAGGGCTCTGGATGCAGCCATGTAGTGCTGCTGTGCCTTTGCTATTTTCCCATAAATCAGGGGAGAAGGAGGTTGACTTACAGCCAAGAACACAATTTCATTTAGTTTCAAGACTTGCATACAAAAGGAATGAAAGCCACTTTGTGAGCTAAATTCAGAACTGCACTAATGGCTCCATTATCCAGATTAGCTCATGACCTGGGGAAAAAGGATGTGTTAAATATAAAAATAAATCCAAACTTGCTGTGCATTTGGAATACATGTTTGTTTTGCTGATCTAGTGCTGGTGTTGGAATAGATGGGAGGAACAACCTCCAGAAAGCTCTGTTGCAGCTCCAGGTTTTTTTCTACAAATTGCTTTTTATAATCCTGACATTCCTCTTTATCATTAATTCAGCAGATACATTAAATCACAAGATGAATTGCAGCAGCTAATACAGTACATATTGGAAAAGATGGAACAAAACCAATAAAAACTATAATGAACATTTCACTTGAAAAATCCCTCAGGTATTTTGAGGAATAAAAATGATGTTTTGTAGGTTGTCACAATGACAGCAGAATGAACAGTGCATTTATTGCTTTTAATTAAGTGTATTACGGTTCACTTATATTAATAAATGACAACTAAAAATAACTTACCAAGAGAATTTTCCAGGACTGAATACAGAGTACAAGATGTTGCTGTTGCTTTATAACAGGTATAAAACCTGGTTGATTTCATTTACTGCAGAACTGCCCTTTGTACAGCTTAATCTCACAAAATATGAACTGGAGCTGTGAAAGGCAGATTGCCTAACTACACCAGTGGCTTCAAGTATTTCTGGAACAGTTTCTAGTAACAACAAAAGCCAGTGACTGATGCTGAATGTTCTGAAAGATGAAAACACCCATCCTGTGTTGCCTTCCCTGCAGCTTGCACAGCTGCCCAGAGATTCAGATCAGCTCACTGATCAGACCAAAAATTACCTTCACCAAAAAATTATTTTTCAAATTCTGCATCAGGTGATTTTGTGCCTTACTTTAAATTATGTAATGAAGAATTTGAATCTAATTCTTAGAATAAAATATGTACACAATGTCCAAGACACAGATGTGGTCTCTAATTGCTTCCTTAACACACTGTAAACCTTTCTTTATTTTGTTCTCTTCACAATTTAGATGCAAAAGACACCCATATTATTTAAGACTTGAAATTCCATGAGATGAAATGTTAACGTTTTCCAAAAATTAAAAAGAGTGAATTCTAATACACTTCTATGTCTTGGTTTTTGTTTTATTTACATGCTTATTTGTAAACTTTAACTCCAAACTCAAAGTTTTATTTTGGAATAAAATTTAAATAAATGTAAATCCTTGTTTAGTTGGAAGGACATTTTGAGCAGTAAAGTATGTCCATATGGAGCCTTACTTGAAAAAAAAGTAACATGGGATCTCAAGATTATTGTCAATACTATTATTGATTTTATCCCCTTCTCCCTGAGGTAAAGGTGGCCATGCTAAAAAGCTGTAGAGCAAACTGATATAATTGCAGAAACACAGGAAGTTTGTAGGAGGCCAGAAACAAACACATTCCCACATCTGCTGATTAAGATGTTTCACCAAAACATTGATAAAGAATAAAAATGAATCATAGGTTGACAGTATTTTTCAGTATGTGGCAGTATGTTAGTGCATTAATATGACAAAGAAATCTTTTTCCCAATAATGTGTTTGTGATCCACAGCATAGAACCTTCACGTTCCAAAACACGCTTTACGTTTCTTGCATAAATACCTCCTTTGGAGAACAATTTAACAGGCCATTTGGTACTGCATCCTACTAGTTGTTTACTGATGTTCAGACAGATTTAATTAGCTACGTCTTTTGCCTAGAAAGTCCAGGTAGCAAAGAATAGATTCATCCAGTATACCAGTTCTTTCATTATACAAGAATTCAAAAGGACTCTTTTGTCCTTCACCATTATTCTTATCTTCCACTCAGCTTCTAGTAAGTTAGTCTTGAAAATTTTACTTGAAAATTTCTCTGTAGATTCTTAGTTTTCTTACAATTATAACATTTCAATAGTCCAGCCATAATATACCAATCAACGAGATATTTTATTAAAATGCTGAACTACCAGCCCTCCAGTTTCACATGGCTGAATTTTATTAAGAGTATTGAAATCAACTTTGTAGAAAATGTTGATATTAAGGAAAGCTATGTAATTCCATAAAATATATGATTTATGTGTAGATTTTTAAGTCTCTCCATTTCCATTGTTCACAGAAAACGATTTCTTCTTCATATTCTTATGCACGGTGATGACATCCCTCTTTGGTTCACATAACTACCTTAATACAGATTTTGCTAAAAGAATTGAAAGAAACTTCTTCATCCCTGCATAAGAAAGTCTTTCATCCATAATGCAACCACTTTCCAGCATGACTAGTCACATGCAAAAGGTTAAAAGTCACATGTAAAATTATTTTTTAGATGACTGATACTTGTGGAAATATATCAGTCAGGCTTCATTTAAATATAGTTGTCATTTTGAATCTCCAAGAGGCAGCATGTATAGGACAATGCATATAATACTCCTTGTTTGTCTACATTTTGTGAATTTCTGCTTCCACAGGATGGAGTTTCAGCATGGGCTCTGCCTACCAGTTCCACAGCTGGCGAGTGTTTGTGATTGTCTGTGCACTGCCTTGTGTCTCCTCTGTGGTGGCCCTCACCTTTATGCCGGAGAGCCCACGGTTCCTGCTGGAGGTATAACTTCCTAAACAGTTTCTAGATTCCAAAATTTCAAAATTATTCCAAAATTTCAAAAAAATTATTTCTGTTTTATACCATGACCCCTACCAAACAGGCATTTAGATCTTTCAGGGGCTATAGTGAGTAACTTAATTTGTATGTATGTTGTACTGAAATGTTTTGTTGTAATATTTAGGTTGGAAAACATGATGAAGCTTGGATGATACTCAAGCAAATTCATGACACTAACATGCGTGCTCGTGGTCAGCCTGAGAAGGTCTTCACTGTGAGTATTGCTTTTAAAGCTAATCACCTATCACATCAGCAAGCCTCCTGATTGGTGAGGTCTGGACGGCTTAAGGAATCAATATTAATACTCTAAATGGCTAAGCCAATTTTTGGCACTCTAAATACCTAAATAATAAGTGTTGCGAATTCCTACTGAAATTGTTATATATATAAAATGTCTGCTAAGAAATTAGCCTTTGGCCAGGATATTCATGGGTGTATGAAGCCACAGCATGATAATTTTATCTGGTGTACCGAGATAATTTATAGATTCCATCGGAGTGTTATTTCGACCCTTAGTAATAATAGTAGGCACATAGAAGTCAAAATTAGTTAGCTGCTGTGTCTTTAGGATTTTGAATTTTTTTCCATTCTTATCAGGTAGAATAATGGTTTTAAAAACTGCATTTTCACTTCTATAAAATAGTAACTTCAAACTTTTAATATTCTCAAAATGTATTGCAAACTCCAGTTAATTATGTTGAGGCCTAATTATAAGACCCTATTTAAAGTATTGATGGGTGGTTTCTATTGGAGGAGAAAATGCCAATTAAAAAATGGAATTTTTTATGGTCTCTTTGTTATTTATGAAGACTATACACAACAATCTTGACTTCCTGGATACAGTAGGATCAAACAGCACTTTCTTGCTTTGAAATCCAGTCAGGCTCTCCAGCTTGTGCAGTGCTGTGGCAGTACATGTGGGATGTTTTTCCTCTTCTAGAAGATTTCTTCTTACTATAACACACATATAACTCAATTAAGAAATCCTCTTAAAGGTTCTGCATTTGCAGGCAGTTTTGAGGAATGACCATCTGACCATATAACTTATATTCCACTGAGACTTGCAGTTTGCTGCCTTGGATGTAGTTTCCACTGACTCCACTTAAACATCTCCACAAAGAAGCTCAAGAATTCCTATATTTAACTTGAAAGAAAGCTGGCTAGGACATTTACCATGTTAAATCCACTTTTATTGGTACACTGGTGACCTACCCCTAATCCCACCTAATCTAATATTTTATTTTCTGATTTAATTTATGAGTAAGGGATTTGCCTAATGCCATATAGCTATGGTGTAATATCACAATTGGCTCTTGCTGACCTGAGCTGCTCTCAGACAGAATATGCCTGCTCCTGGTGACTCCAGGGGGTTATTTTCTGCTACTATTGATATTCATTGACTGATTTCACAGCCAGCCCCAGTGCTGACCCTGTCCCCCTTTAGTATTGGTTTAGGCACAAGGCAGAAGACAGAAATGTGTTAGGAGAAAATGTGGGAGGAAGGATAAGCCTCTCACGTCACTTTTACGTAATCATAATCACGTCCTAAAGCAGCTGCGGAGAAGAAAACAAAGCACATGCTCAATATTTCCAGCTCTTGTGGTCTAGCAAGCCTTTGTCCCTGTGGCTGTTAAAATGTGACACTCAGACACTTTATCTACAGTCACTTTTGTAAATTGATCAGCCATTAATTTTGCCAGCTTCTGCCTTGAGCATTATGACGACTCTACTCCATTTATCAAGTTGAGATTAGAAATACTGTGCTGTGTGTCAAGGTTAGACATATATAGAAGTCCCTATTTTTAGCTTGCATTAATATAATTAGAAAATGCATCATTCTCCTCTTATTGTACTACATCAGCACTTCATCTCATAAAACCCAGAGAAAAATTTATGCATAAAGAACCTATGCATAATTTGTTTGGCATATCCTTTTAGTTTGTTTTTTTTCTAAGTTAGTCCTCGAGATTGTGACATTTTGTCTCAGTAATTTATTCACAGACTTCTCCTAAACTTTCCATAGTCCTCCTTTGCTTATCCAATGCCATTCTATGACTTACACTTTACTATTTTCCTCCACTTCATGTTGTTAGTTACATCAGACACCCTTTAATAGTATATTTTCTGACTCTATAGATGATGTGGCTTTTTCTCCATTACACTTATAGTTTTAGTGTGATTTTCTTTTATGCATTTTCCTGTATTGTATTGATTTAATATTTTTCTAGAAGCCTTTTTTCACAAGTTATGTTTATTCTTGTTGTTCATGTTATTGAGGGGATTATCTTTAAGCCTTCAGGAAGAAATGACATCAACTGACAAGCAGTTTGGTTTAGAGTTAATCCAAAATAGAGTGTTCTGATTTCTGAATTAATTGAAAGGGTAGTTCTTCATACTTTGACAAATTTGTCCTGAAAGCTGTGATACTAACAGACACTAATAAATTGATAATATCTTCAATCATGGAACTACTGAATCAGCTGTTTATGTGCACACTTTATTATCTTCCTGAATTTTTAAAATACCTATTCATTAGATCTCACGATTTAAATATTTAATTTTTTTAAAAAAGCCTTCCATCCCCAAAATCAACATTTTCTCTACTCCTCAATTATCATGTAATATTTCTTCTTCCTGCAAATATTTTTCTTTGCAACAAGTATTGATTTTTAAAATTTAGAACATTGCATATTTCTAACCATTGTTTTTAAACAGAAGGATCATTTTCATTAAAATTGGCTTTCTTTTCTGGGTTTGGGGTTTTTTTTCATTCATCATACACTGACATGCTGAATTTGCATGCTCCTGAAGGACCATTATCTGACTCAATAGGACTTTTCATATGTTAAAGAACCACCAAGGCCAGGGAACTTTTGTCCCCTACATACAATGTCCTAGGATACATATGTTTCCCCTAATCTCCCCAGTTCCAACTGAATCAGGTGTTCAGTATGGTGAAACTGTTGTCCCTGAGCCCACAAGAGTGGGATTCAAAAGCCCCAGAGGCATGGTATGCAAGGATTTCTGTATGTAGGAGATATCAGATAATTTCCCAGGACTTGACTCAGTCTTTTGTATAACATATTTCCTGAAAGCATTTTAAGAAAAGCTTGA